CCGGCCATCTGACTGATAAACGTAAGTAACTTTTTTTTTTTTGAGTTATTTTTGTTATAGGACACATGCGCTCGCCTAAAGACGGACAGAGACAGAAAGCGAGAAATCACCCCCCAGGGGGAATGGCCACGCCACAATCCCTTCTCCTCCATTCTCCTCTCGGGATCTTGGGCACACACACACGCGCCCGGCGTGAGTTTTAAGCCACCGGGTCCGGGACGCGAACCACGGTCGACTACATAGGAGTCCAGCGACATAGCCATTATGCCAGCTGCTGCTCCCAAACATAAATAATTTTAGATGGGCCAAAAAGAGTCCTGTTACAAGAAAAAAATAAAAATATATGCATGTGAATAATCTTATAAATACCAAAAAATTCAGATATTTAAATATATACTAAGTTAATTTATACTCGTAAAAAAAAAAAAAATTAAATAATGGGGCCAAGGGTGGTATAGTGGTTAAGGCCCTGAATCCCCACATGTGAATGGCGCCTTGAGTCCCAGACCCACAGGCTTGAAGCTCATGCCAGGTGCGAATTCATGCGTGCCTAAAGTCCTAGGAGGAGGATGGACGAGAATGGGATGCAGCATGACTGTCATTCCTGGGGGCGTGATTTTTTGCTTTCTATCTCTGTCTCTTTCCAGCAAGCTCATGTGTCCTATAGTAACAATCTCTCTCTGAAAAAGCAGCTACAATAACATCAGTGTTCTTTGGTAGGCGAGTGGTTAAATAATGTGTCGTAACCTCCATGAAATGAGATGCTCTATATCCATGAAAACAAATGTGAGAAACCCATGTGTGATGACAAAATATTGGGTTGTCAGGAAAGTTTGCATAGAAAAATACGTCATGACTGGGGACCAGCAGGTAGTGTGGTGGTTAAGGCGCTGGACACTCCCACGTGGCCGACCATGGTTCAAGTCCTGAATCTGGTGGCTTGCTTTCTTACTTCCTCTCTCACTCACTCTCACCCTCTGTCTCTCTCTGGTCAAATTAAAAAATAAATGAATGAATAAATAAAATAAAATAAAATAAATAATTATTTTAAAAAATATGTCATTACTTTCCCAACAACTTAATATATTCTCACATTTTTTAAAAAAGACGGAACTATATATTTAGTATATTGTATGTATGACTGTACTTATAGACTGTATATTGACAGAAAATCTCTGGAAAGCTGTACATGAAAAAGTTTGGTAGTCATTGCTTCAGAATCAACTAGGGATCTGAGAGGGGAGATTTACTCTTTGAATTTCTTTCAACATATTCGTATTTTTAATTTAAAAAACAAAAATCAGGGACCAGCAAGTGGCATGGTGATTGAGGTGCTGGACACTCCCACATGGCTGACCACGGTTTGAGTCCTGGACCTGGTGGCTGGCTTTCTCACTGTGTGTGTGTGTGTGTGTGTGTCTGGTCAAATTAAAATAAATGAATGAATAAATAAAATAACTCTTTTAAAAATCACACTGTATCCTATACATGTGTAGAATGTCATTTAAGATTATAATAAAAATCCATAAAAGTAATTAATAAAAATAAAGGGAAAGCTATGTCAGGTGCATTAGAGTCAATTAACAAATGTGCTTTCCTCAGCCCCCTGCCCCCCGCACACACACATTCTTTAGGAGAGAAAGAGTGAAAGGGAGAGAAGAAGTAGGTATTCTGATAGGGGCTCACCGTGTTACGATCCTCCTGCCCCAGCCTCTCAATTAGGCAGGATTGCTGGTGCTCCCAGCGTGTTCAGGTTGGCCTGGGAATTGAACTTGTGTCTCCCATGCGGCTTCCACACTCCCAGACAGCAGTGCTATCTGTGCACCACTGTGGCTCTGCCCTATGTGTATTTTTTAAGCAGTGTCCCTCGGAAGGTGAGTGTCTCTTGAATGTGCAAGGCGTTGTGCTAACAGCAAGTACATGACCTGTATGCTGGTTTTATCTGCATGGTTCAGAATTTGCTGACAAATTTTAATGTAAAATAATGGCTTATTGATTTTAATTGAAATATCTTCTAAATGAAAACAAAATCTTATTTCTAGATTGAGTGGTATTTGGCCTCTCTTTTCTGTCCTTGTAAATGCAGTCTGAGAAATTAATAATGCTATGTCGTCTTTGTCCCAGATGTGTGTGTGTGTGGCTCTGTCTCCATGCGAGATCTTACTTCCTTCTTCTCTTTGTCTAATAGAAAATCCGGGAGCTAGAAACCTCACTGCGTGGAGCTCAGGAGAGTGCTAGACACAAGGAAGGCACGATTATAAAAATGCAGAAAGAGCTCGAGATGACTAACGACAAAGTAACGAAACTTCAAGCCGAAGTCAATGAATCACATAAGTATTTCAAAAAAACAAAAGAAACAATCCAAGAACTTGAGGTAACTGGGATTCACTTTACAGTAAAAATGGTTTTGTTTTTCAACCCGTTGAATGCGGCACTAATTTCGTTCTCCATTCCCCCGTTGTCACTGCAGCTCTGTGATCTGTATATGTCTGAATATTCAAGCTTTGAAAAAAATGAAGTGATTTAACTTAGAAACGAAATGCAAGACCATAGTTTTATGTAAAATATTTTATCATGCTAGAAAAATAATTTTTGAAATACATGAATGTTCTTCATAGTTTAAAATATATTTTTTTCATTTTCAAAAACAAAGTTACTTCTTATCTAAATCTGTAACACTGTTAGATAAGTGCATATACGAATGTGTTTCCTATGCACTGCCCCCGTCACTGAGCCAGGCAGCCTCGTGGTCTGGACCGGCGTTAGACGAGTCACCTCGTTTATCACACCTACCCCTGCCTTTGGTTCCACTCCAGCCACTTCACACACCTCTGCTGCTCGAGTCTGGTTCTGAGAGGCATCACAGTCTGCCGCCCCCTCCAGTGCCTCTTCCCTGAGTTAGAGTTAGGAGCGAGTCAAGGGTGCCTGCTCTTTTCATTAACCTCGTTCTAAAAATTTGGGTGCATTCAATGAGACAGTAGCAGAGAGGCAAGAGAAAATAATGTTCATCTTTTTATTTTTGTACACAATTATTGGTAGATCTAGAAACCAAGAAATCTAACTGCAAGGTTGTAGAACTTTGAAAGTAACTTTTTTCATATTATAAAACAGATCAGTGATCACATTTTTTATTTATTCAAGACATTTGCTGAGCCCAGCTGTGTCCATCACTGTCCCACTGACAGATGCAGTGAAAAAAGGCAGCGTCTGTGCCAGCAGGAAGACAGAAAATAAATGACCTTAACATGTAAAATGTAAATGGGGGTGTTACACAGATCCAGGGGTACGTCACATGTTGACAAGTACAAGGGAAAAAGAAAAAATTAAACCAGGCAAGGCTAACATGGGCCTGTGTGGGGAAAGAGAGTTCACCTTATCAGAGGAATAAAGGAGAGTCACACCGAGATCAGATGATCCGAAGAAGGTGGTAGGGTGAACTGTGTAACCAAGGGAGAGTCTTCAGGCACAGAAAACAGAAAATGCACAGATCCTGGAAGAGAAATATTCTAGACATGTTTGAGAAGCAGCAAGAAAGCCAGTGTCCCCAGGGCACCCCAGCCTCTCTTACTGCTGAAAACTTACACGCACTGACAAACAAAACAGAAAGAAATGTGATTATCTCTAATTATATATTAGCTCTGATCATACTTCAGTTCAAACGTCTAGTTATTATCAGTCAGTTAAAATGGATTCATTTCCTGGTTTTCCTAATTTGGGGAGTGGTGGTTACCATTTTAAAACATTCTTAACCAGAGCAAAAGTAGCTAACCACTATTTAAAACTGGAAAAATTGAAACTGTCCTAATCATTTTTTAAATTTTTCTTTTCTCTAGGGCAAAATTGCTTTAGGAGCTAAGCCCTATAAAGAAGAAATTGAAGATCTCAAAATGAAGCTGGTGAAAGCAGACCTCGAGAGGATGCAGGATACCAAAGGATTTGAAAAGGAGTATGTCTTTGACTTAATTGAACACAGCTTTAATGACTAAATCTCCTTCATAAACTATATAAATTTCTTTGCATTAGTTAGCTTTTTAAAATTTAAAAAATATTGTTAATTTTCATTAAAAAAAAGGAAACGTTCTCAGATTTTAAACTTGCATTACATATGCAGAGTTAGAGAGATTTTTGCTATAGGGTATGTGCGCATGCCAGAGAGACGGAAAGGAAGAAATCACCCCCCAGGGGGATGACCATGCCCCAATCCCTTCTCCATTCTCTTCTTGGGATTTTGGGCACATGCGTGTACACGCACACGCACACCCACACACTCGTAGTATGAGTTTTGAGCTGCCAGCTCCAGGACTTGAACCATGGTAGACTCATAGGAATCCAACAAAGTAACTGTAATGCCATCTGCTGGTTCCCACATGCAACGTTTTAAACAATAAGCACAATTCTGATCAATTAGCACACTATGTCTTTGAATACTTCACATATAAACATCTTTAAAATGGCCTTTTATGCTTGAAAGTGAACACGAAGAACCCGTGAGTGTGTTTAGCAGTTTGACTAAGGTTTCAGTTGGTTCTCTCAATTTCACATGTCCTTCTTCTTGTGTTTTTGTATAAAGATTCTATTTCCTTTGACTGTATAGGTGCCTAAGGACAGAGACCATATGCTTTTTATTGATTCATTTATGGGTAGTATTACACATAACAGCATGCTTAAAGTTCTTTGTGGTGTAACATAGCAAGAGTATTAAACAAGGAGTCAAGAAACTGAATTAGAAATATGCCCCCATTTAAGGCACCTCCTGAAGCAAGCCTTTTGGTCTATCTGGTCCTTACACTCACAACCAATAAAAGGAGGTGTCTTAAGATACCTTCTGGTTCCTAACACTTTTCATGTTTCCTATAAATCTTAAATTATTTAATGATCTCTAATTCTGCCCAAAAGTAGTACCCTGTGAATCTTCATGGCTGTCTGACCAGCCATCAGTTGGTAAGATCTATTCGCTTTAGTGAGACATATACCCCGTATGTTCTTCACTACACAAAGGGTAGAATTAGCAGATACTTTATTGTCTGTAGAAAGGCAGAAAGGCTTGTAACTTACCAGTGCTGATTGATGCCTAAGTGCACAGCCGTAATTGT